AAAGAAAATCTTAGAATCAACTTACAGAAATCAAATAACTGACTGGCCAAAGCCTGTCATTTGGATTTTGCTGCAAAGACATCTGCTTGTGTGCAGAAGTCACCAGGCAGCATCTATTTCTAGAACACACTGAGGAATGTTGCTGCTTTATTATTTAATTATCAAATGGAGATATACTTTAGACTGAACACTGCTCTGATACAAACTCATTTAAAACAAAACCAAAAAAAACCCCTTTGTAAATGCTCTGAAAAGAGACTATGAAAGCAAACCCTAGATTACAGCATTTATTGTCTTTCAGCTGCTCACATAAGGCTCACATGCATTACAAGGAAAAAATAGTGAAAGGTTTAGCCCATTTGCCAACCTCACCACTTTTTTGCCTTCTTTCACATCATCAGCAGCAATAGATATTCCAGAGGTCGATTTGTGTCCACAGTCAGGTCTCTCCATCCCAGTTGTCTTCCATATATAACCTCAGTTGCACACATGTAACCTTGATGAAGGCTAATGGAGTTGCACAGGTGTATCCAAGGCAAAAATACCTTTATTACTGATGATGATGCTTGAATAGAGGAAAATCCAGCTTGGTGTCTAGTTGAGTTTGCAAAACTGTCAGGTGAGAAAAATAAATATTCACCTATAAACTGAGCAAATGTGTCTTTGCGAGACAATAAACTCAGGACTATGGGGTGGAATTTCTAAAGACTTGCTTTTTAGAGGATGCTTGCAGTGGAAAGCCTAGTCCTTTTAGAAACCCCATGAAGTCAATGAAAGTCAAGGACTCAAGTTGCAAGAGGTACTCAGTATTTTGTAGGATCATGCCGTTAATAATACAGAATCATTATAGTTCACAGGATCAGTATGTTTATAAATATAATATGTGTAGAATCCTCTCCTGATATTTGTTAGCAGCTCTTTTGAGATAGTACTTAAAGCTTTATGTGATTTATATTGCACGCTTTGTGTTATTATAGAAATCCAAACAAGAAATGGCAGGTTTTTCTTAAAGAATAAAAGAGATCTCTTTATATTAAATATACTATAAAGGCCATTTCAGTCAGTGCATGCTAGGGTTAAACTCTAATGCCATTCCAACCAAAGTCACCAATGGGTCACCTGAAGCGTCAATGAGAAGATGATCTATTCACGAAGGTGCTATGTGCATCCGTATAAACATGCAGAAAAAGAATACCTGGCAGAGTATTTACTTTGGCTGTTCTTTGCCACAGACTAGTTATTGTTAACCTCATGTTCTGCCATTGATTCCACGATGTGTTGGAGTTGCTATCTGATGGTAGAATAGCAAGTAGTGTCACAAGACAATAAAAGGGAAATGCTCATAAACAAATAAGATGAATTATTTCCTCCTCAAACCCAAAATCTAGAAAAAAAGCATAATAGAACTAGAGTTACTGCCCATCTTGAGGAAGGCTATTTGATGAGAATTAGTCATAGCAGGGAGAAAAATATATTATTTTTATTGCATTGTAATGAAAAGATGGTAACCAGATTTGACTGACCAAAACAATTCTAAAGTTATTTATTATTTATGAAACAAATTTGTTAATGAGAGTGCACTTTGAAACCGCCTTAGTTTCTCAGGAAGTGGATAATCCTGCAATGTGCTGAGCATTCTGGTCCTCGTCCAGAAAAGTTCTTTATCTTCTAAATATATGAGCATGGCCCTTTTGAGGTTGGGTTAGTCCAGTCCTGAGCCTAAGCTCAGCACCGTACCAAGCACTGCGCTCTTGGAAATGGGTTAACCAGTCCCGGTCAGGAGCTGTGCAGCACTCAAGCCTAAGCCAGGACTTGACGTTCATCTTCCTCCCAACAGTAGCTGACCATAAAAAACACTCTTAGTCTTTCCCTGTGCAAAATCATCTGAAAAGGATTAGGTGTATTAGGAACAGCAGGTGTGAAATGTTCCTGACGTCTGTTCAACTTCGCTGTGCCCATGAAGGGAGGGAAGAGAGGTGCAGAGAAGGGGTGGGGATGTGTGAAGATGGGTGCATGCAATAACCTCAGGGGCTGTGGGGCTATTGCTAACAACCTCAGAAACAATTTTACGCAATATTAAACATATTTGGAGAGTGCGAGGTTTTCTTAAGTTCTCTTCATAAAATCCCCTTTAAAGTATATTCTTTTTTCTGGTGAATATTTGAGCCTGCTTATGACAGGTATGGCGTTGACTGCTTAGCCTTACTGCTTGCTCCTCCAGGCATAGAGCATATTATAGAGGAGCTGATGTACTTTATCTGTGCTTAGGGAAATGATACTGTTAGTCAGCTTCTTCAAACTGTGACCCATACAAGATTACTGCAGTATAGGACTTCAGGAGAAAATGGATGATAAATAGCAGCTGGAATAGGGTTCTGTCCCCTAAATGCCATCCATCACACCACAGTTGCTTCTAGTCTGCTTGGCTTTGGCCTCTAGTTCGCATCTGTATTTTAGGTACTTAAGAAATCATCCTTCCCAAAGCAAGGGCTAAATTTGTGGTACAGGCAATAAAAAGAAGCACCCTGAAGGCTTCCAGAAGGAATCTTGTCTCCTAATTCAGGTGCCTATGTGCAGGCAGGTAGCAGATCCCTCTGGAGCAAGGAGAGATTCTTACCTCTTGCTGTTAGTCAACCAAGCTTTAAGCCCAAGGTTGACATCTAAGGCACGTTTAGTCTAACCTTGCCTTCTAGCCTGCTGCAGTAGTCTATAGAGAGGGAGACAGACTTCTCCAGGAGGCAAGTCCTTTCACCATAAAATAGGCGTCTAAGCTAAGAGATGAAGGAGGAGGCCATGCCACTTTACTGTTAATAAAGAGAGAGCTGAGGTCATTTGCTTAGCCTATAAAGTTAAGATGGGTTTTACAGAGCTTCCTTCAGGGGTCCAGCCTAAGCTGCTTACCTAGGGATCCTCTGCAGTCATGAGGGAAGACAGGAATGTCTGTAGGGCAGTTCATCCCACCTTACGATAAATAGCGTGAATTGCCTTCTGGAAGTGGTCCGTCTTCATTGCCCACAGAGGAAGGCTAGTCACCATGATTTGATTAGACACCTGCATTGTAGCTGGCTAAAAGTACAAGTGATTCCTTCCAGAAACTAGTATTTGAACATCACATACATATGCTTATATATGTACACAGAAATAAAGAAGTAGATCAGGATCCATCAAAACCCCCTGTATCTAAAATGCCCCTCTTGCAGAGCACAGATTTTCTTAGTTAATCCAATCTTGTAGCTACAGCTCCTTGATTTGGGCGAGGAGAGAAATGAGTTCTGTGTCTTTGTATCTGCCCTAGAAGAAATGGTGGGAGACGTCTGTGTTCTGGAAGGAAGAAAGGAATGGAAAATCCCATGAAGAGGCATCATTTTTTTCCAGCTGCATTTGGGATAGACAAATACAGCTGCTGGATAAATGGAATGTCTGATATTTTTCTGTAACAAAGAGAGTTTCATCGGAACATTTTAATTTGCTGCTTTCTTCTTCTTAATCTAACCCAAAGTGCTGGAATCTCTACCAAATACAACATTAATAATAGGAAGCACTTGACATAAAAGTCTCTTCTTGGCCAAAATGCTGGCTTTTATAAGCAGACTTTAGTTTTATTTCTCTGTGG